CCTCTGATGCTGCTTGGCCTGCTGTGTTCATCCAGCTCTACACCTTGTTACCCCAACAACTTATCCACTTAACAAAGGAGGGCACAGACAGGAAGGCATTGGGTCCTGCTGCACAAAGAAACAAACAGTAGCATACCACCCAAATGACTGACACTTTCAAACTATTAAGTGAGTTTCCCTGATTGACCAGAAGTAAAGAGAAATCCAGAAAACCAAATAAAAGGGTATAAAAACAGGGTTCACCTGAAGACCATGGTCTTGGACCCTATTGGATCTTCTGAGGAGACCAGCATGGCAACAGGCAGCATAGCTGACCATCCAGAGAGAGAGCGACTGCGTAAATCTACAAGAGACTCAGGAAGTATTGTGACCTAAGGGCTAAATAGGATCAGAGACAGTATGTTTAGTTTTAAAAGTTACTGTAACTTTTTCTCCCTAATAAAGTTGGGACGGTTTTGCATTGGTACCTGCGTGTGCTCATATTGATTTGGCCACTTTCGTATTATGGGACACTTGGGCAATTCATTCATAATATTCTGGTCAGAGTTGTCTGAAGTTTAAGGAGGACCTAGACAACAACTTTAAGTGGATAGGCATGCCACTATGCCAAAAAAAAATCGATAGATGTATTACCAAATCTAATAAAATCCAGTTTGATGTTATTTATCATACAGAATATCCAAGAATATCTGGAAGTATCTATAAACAGCTAAGAATGGAATATCCATCAACATTTAAAGTAAAGTTTTACCTGAAAACCCTAAATAAGAAAGATATCTTCTCCTGGTGGAAGAAAATGTATTAAGAATATAACATCTTATTTTCATGTCTAGCTGTGATGTTGCAGAAAGGGGAGGGAGGTATCAGAAATGGTCCAGGTGAATTTGAGGTTGGAGTGACTTCAAATTCACCTGGACCATCTCCGATACCTCCCTCCCCTTCCTGGACCTCTCCATCTCCATATCTGGTAATTGTTGCACCACCGACATCTATTTCAAACCCACCAACTCCCATAGATACCTTGACTATACCTCACCCACACTGCTGCAAGAATGCAATCCCTTACTCCCACTTCCTCTGCCTCTGCCACATCTGCTCCCAAGATGGAGTGTTTCACTCCTGGACATCCCAGATGTCCTCCTACTTCAAGGACTGCAACTTCCACCCTCCATTGATCAAAAATGCCCTCAACTACATCTTTTGCATTTCCTGCACTTCTGCCTTCAAACCCCCTCCCTCAATAAAAATAAAGACAGAGTCCCCCAGTCCTCACATACCATCCCCCCAACCTCTGCATCATCCTCTGCCACCTCCACCACCTACAATCTGACCCACCTCCAAAGAGATATTTCCCTCCTCATCCCTATCTGCCTTTTGTAGGGACCGCTCACTCTGCGACTCTCTCATCCACTCTACACTCCCCACCAACCCCACCGCACCTGGCACCATTCCCTGCAACCGCAGGAGGTGCGACACCTGCCCCTACACCTACCCTCTCACCTCCATCCAAGGCCAAGATAAACTTTCCATATCCAACAGGGATTCACCTGTATATCCTTTAACCTGATCTACTGTATCCATTGCTCCCGATGTGGCCCCCTCTACATCGGTGAGACCAAACACAGACTCAGTGACTGATTTGCAGAGCACGTGCGCTCTGTACGCTATAATCAATAACACCTTCCAGTTGCTAATCATTTTAACTCCCCCTCCCACTCCCTTGATTACACATCCATCCTGGGATTCCTCCAGTGGCACAATAATGCCATACACAAACTGGAGGAATAACACCTCATATTCCACCTCAGGAGCCTACAGCCCAATGGCCTGAACATAGAATTCATCAGTTTCAAAATCTCCTCACCTCCAGCGTCATTCCATGTCCAACCCTTCCTCTCATCCCTGCCTCCTTGATCTGACACATCTTCTTTCCCATCTATCTGCTCCACCCTTCCCACTGACCAATGCCCACTACCTCTACCTATCGCCATCCCACCTACCTCCCCCCAGCCTCACCCCTCCTTCCTCTATTTATTTCCCAGTTCCCTTCCCCCTCCCCAGTCCTGAAGAAGGGTCCCGATCTGAAACATCGACTCTCCTTCTCCTCTGATGCTGCCTGGCCTGCTGTGTTCTTCCAGCTCCACACTGTATTGACTCTGACTCCAGGGAGGCAGAGTGATAGATTGACTACTCATGAATTGGAAACAAACAGCCAACTGACATATTTAAGGCTCCTATTAATGAGGATGCAATAGGGCTGCTAACATTTTATCATCTGCACATGGAAAATACCTGCTCTATAGAACTGGCAGTCCAAGGGACTACAGGAAGCCATCATGGGGGTTTCCATTGGATCAGTGGGGTCTGCTGATTTTCTCTGATTTTCATTTTAAGTTTACCTCTCCCGAGATGTCTTCATGTTGAGACTTTTAAAAATTCTTCAGAAAACCAAGAACTGAATGCAGGCAGAAAAGAATGACAGGAAAAATAGAAATTGCAGTTCTTGCTATCTGCCGGAGAAACTCAGCAGGTTCAAGATTAAAGTAACTTCTTCAGAACTGAATCTGTTCTGAAGAAGTCATACCAGGCTCAAAACATTAACTCTGTTTCTCTCCCTAGGGATGTTACCAGCATTGCCTGTCTTTATATGATATAGTATAACTGATTGAATCCCTACCTGCACATTGACCAAGTGAATGGTCTCTCAGCAGTGTGACTACACCAGTGAGTTACTGGCTTAGACAGGTAAATGAATTCCAATCACAGTCCAAATATTTTCACAGTATCTCCATACTAGTGCAATACAGAGAAGAGGAGCAGGAAAAGACAATTTAGCTCACTGAATCCTCTTAACCATTCAATAAGATCATGGCAGATCCTCTATCTCAATACCATATTCTTACTCTCCCCATGGCCATTTACACATGCATCTTCTTGAACTTTACTGATTTCTTTTTTTAAAAATATTTAATGACTTTGAATCCAGAGACTTTCATGGTGGAGATAGATTCCATAGGTTCTCTACTTTCTCAGTGAGGAAATTTGTAATTTCAGTTCAAAATGGCCTACCATTTACACAGATATTCTTTTGTCTTTCCTAGTTGGGTGATCAATTAAAGTTTAATCTAAACACAGAACATGTCTGTCGTTTCTTACCACTGTGTACGATGCAACTACATAACACTGCGTCGAAACATTCTCATTTAGGTGTGTGTCTCAGTGCTTTTCCAGTTACACTGATGAATTAAATATTTTTCTGCTTCTAGGTTCCTCATACAGTTTCCAGTTTTCTTGATTATTTCTACTGTCTTTACCTGCTTTTTGTCTTTTCTCCACTGCACTAAAGCCCTAAAAGGAGCATTTGTATGTTGATAATCCCTCAATTATCTCCCAAGGCTGCCAGTGAGAACATTTCATTGCACAATGATACAACTCTTATCTGATTACAGGTGTGATCATGTGAACAATATTAGTCTGTCCAGGAGACCATACACGTTCCCCTGTGAGTACATAGAACTTCTGCACATCTACCTGCAGATTGTATCAATACACTCAATGAAAGAAAAAAAAATTCCTATACATTGTATGAACACACGCATGAAGAATGAAGGTGAGATAGGAAGAACTGCAGATGCTGGGGTCAGAGATAACACAGTGTGGAGTTGGAGGAACACAGCAGGCCAGGCAGCATCAGAGGAACAGGAAAGCTGACGTTTCCGGTCGGGACCCTTCTTCAGAAAAAGAATGAAGGTCATTCTTAATGTACTGTATCTGGAAACTGGATGACTAAAACGATCCACCCAGACATGTAGCAGGTGAATGGCCTCACCCCAGTGCAACTGCACTGATGACTTCGTAGCTTCGAGGGGAGTTTGAACTAATTCGCCACTTTTCCATGGTTTCTCCTTGTTGTGGGTGTTCTAGTGTCTGTCCAGGCTGATCAATCATTTGATACCTTACGATTATTATACGGGATACGTAGCACAGAAACAGGCTACTTAATTCTGGAAAAATCGTTGTATTTGAAATTTGAACCCTGTTTCTCTCGCCACAGATGCTGCCAGACCCGTTGAATTCTACCAGCATTTTATAAAATTCAGATCTCTAGCGATATTTTGCTTTTATTTTAACAGAAACAGGGCATTCAGCCCGACCAGGCCATGCCAGAGTTTATGCTCCAGGAGTGTTCATGAATTCTCTCTCAACATATTTAAAAGATTAATTTGGTGTATTTTAGTCTAGCTCTGATCAGACCGGTGGAAAATTAAATTTACAGCCACCGGAAAAGAATCCACTGCGCAGGAGCAGACTGGACTGTTCTCTGAGCATGCTCAGTGTCATTTATGGCGACAGTCTGAGGAGGAGCGGACATTTCAGGCGGCGGCAGCTGCAGCGGCAGGCAATTGTGAGACAGGGTAGGAATGGAAACCACGACACTGGGGCCTGGTAACTTTATCAACTAAGGGGAAAGCCCGGGTCCTCGAATCCTCAAGGGTCCATAGCTCCCGTGTTTATCCTGCAGGCGGGACAGGCCCCAGGGCAGCGGTCTTACTGATCGCCATTTTGTGAGTGGGTGTTAGGGTCGATCGGGGAGGCGGGCCTTCCTGGGGAAGGATCCGGGGTTACCCAGGCAACCGCTAGCCAGCCATCTTTGGAAAGGTAGGTGGGGTGGAGAGGAGGGCGAATGGGCAGCCATCTTGATGAAGGAACTGGCTTTGGGCTGGGTGTCAACATCCGTGCCACCAGGAGGGAAAATCATTGATTTGACTGTCACACTGCAGACAAGAACTGAATATAATATAACAAGGTGTAGAGCTGGATGAATACAGCAGGCCAAGCAGCATCAGAAGAGCAGGAAAGCTGACGTTCCGTGTTCGACCCTTCTTCAGAAAACCAAGAACTGAATGCAGGCAGAAAAGAATGACAGGAAAAATAGAAATTGCAGGAAAGTAATTGTGATGACAGAATTGTTATGGTGCCATTACAGAAAAGGAGGCCATTCAGTTCATCGCATCAGCACCAGCTCTCTGAATGAGCATTATGACTTAGTGCCATACTCCTGCATTTTCTTTCTAACCCTACATCTATACAGATACCATCTCCTCAGAGCCAGTACCTGGAACCTAAAGGCCTTGCTCATGTACCATTTCCGATCACTTTTCATCTGTTTTAACCACCTATATTCTCTCATATTTGGCACAGGGAGTAATCTGGAGATTACTACTTTTTAGGTCCTGCTGACTACATTTCTACAAAGCCCCTAAATTCTGACTGCAGGACTACATTTTTTCCCCCTCCCTTTCCTTTGCAATTGGTATCAATGTGGCCTCTGGCTGCTCACCCACCCCACCCACTCTTATCATGGTCCTGCAACTGCTCTGTGACAGACTTGACCCCGGTAAGAGGGAGGCAACATTAACATTCCTGGAGTCATGTCTACAGCTGCAGAAATGTCTCTGTTCTTCTGTCACTACTGCTCTCCCACTCATCTTCCCTCTTGTAGATCTGGACCATCAATGGTGCCCTGTGTTTACCTCTTGCTGTGCTACGTGAGGAACCTTCGTCACTATTAAGTTTGAGATGGGATCTCCAGGAGTCCTGCAGTAGTTGTCTGGCTCTCTACAACTGCCTGATGATCACCTATTCCCTCTCTACCTGCATGTGCCTTGGCTGTGCCTGACCACCTATCTGGTTATGCTACTGACAAAGTCCTCTTCCTCATGGATAAGCCACAGTTATTGCAGTTGCTGCTTGAGCTCCAAAACCCACAGCTCGAGCTTGTACAGCTGATAGCACTTCCTGCTCATGTGCCCATCCAAATCATGTGAAGTGTCTACGAATCTCCTCATGCCATAGGTTGGCACACCTTTTTGCTTTTGTGCTACTTAATTTTTTTTTGAGTTTTGTTTTGTAAATGTATTTTTCCAAAATTTCTCATACTTTGAGACACAGGCCCTAACAGCAGCTGTTTAGAAAGGAACAACTCCTTACCCCTTCCCTCCACCAACTTCACTGAACTCGCCACTCAGCCAACTTTTTGCACTAAACCTTACTTAAAGAACCTCTTTCCCACACTGTGTTGAATTCCCACATTGAATGAAATTCCCAGGTATTCACTCTATCTTGTCTCACTGTGGAACAGTTTGACTGTGCATCCCTTACTGACCAAGTGATTTTAAGGAAAACCCTTTTTTTAAAAGAGAAATTCTGAAGAGTAACCAGCTAACTTAGCTTCCTGTTACAGTGATCAACACCAGTTGAGCAATGGAGATGGTGACATGAGTCTCGATTTCAACCCTAGGAGAAGGGAGAGAGTATGGCATGGAGATTTACATCTTTGGGGGGGATATGACATGAGCATAACTGGTGATCTGTGCAATGTCAAGTCCTCTGCTCTTTTCTTGATTTCCTGTGCTCTTGTGCTTTCCTCTTCAATTATTCATAAGTCCCAAATCAATATAACTATGAATACGAATACATGTGTTAGCTTGCTAATGCCTTCCTTGCGTGTGCTTAAAGGAAAAGACTTCACTAAAAATCCTTGTTCTGTCTGTAAGTTCTTTGAGGTTCTGAGTCCTCAGCTATCACTACCAAATATTTGCTCTTTGTCATATTAGTGTGACTCTGTGACTGTATGCATATCTGTATGTATCTGGGTCTGTGTTTGCAGGCCAGTGTATGGATTTGTGTGTCTGTACATATGCCTCCGAATAGCTCACTGCTATTTCTCAGCTATCTGCTGTTCCTTGGTGACAGAAAATAAAACACAGTATCTAATCATGCATATACACCAACAGCCCCTAGCTCAACCTCCCAAATATCCCTCTCCACCTTTTCCTTACCTCTCAAAAAAAGTTATTCTGCTTGTCCCACATTGAAATTGCATCTTCAGAGAGTCAACTCTAACTGGATGTGGTGAATGGCCTCCTTCTCAGCTGTAATCTTGTGAATCACACACAGGTTGTATTTTAGTTTCTCTCAGGTTGTATTCTTTCTGCTATTTTAGTTTACAACATTTCAAATTTGTATCGAGTTGTTTCAAACATTTTTTTTATTATTCATTCATCAGTATTTATTGCCCATCCCTAGTTGCCCTTAAGTAGGTGTGGTGAGCTGCAGATTAGGATTTCTGTCTCGACCAGCTTTTCAGGCAGTGAGTTTCAGATCTTTGTCACCACCCTTTCAATGAAAACGTGCCAAAGTGTCCATTCCTCAAACTTGTTTTTGTTGCTTGTGATTGAGATATTGTGATTGGAGGATAAATTGAAGAAGTTGGGACTGTCCTCCCTGGAGAGGCAAAGGCTAAGATTGAATTAGATAGAGGTTTTCAAAATCATGAGTGGAGTGGATAGAGTAGATAGGGAGAAATAGTTCCTGCTTGTAAAAGGAACAAGAACAAGAGGGCATAGATTTGAAGTGATCCACAAGAGAAGTGAGGCTGAAGGGGAGGAAAAACGTTTTTGCTCAGCAAATAGAATATGAAATACACTAGCTGTAAACGTGCTGGTGGCAGGTTCAAAAGAGACATTAGAGATGCCATTGGATGACTATTTGGATAAAAGTAATGAGAAAGGGTAAAGGGAAAAACTGTAGATAGCATTAGGTAATTATGCTCATTTGAAGAGCCAGTGCAGGCACAACAGGCCGAATGGCTACCTTCTGGGCAGCAAGTATGTTTTTGTTATTGGTGGAGCGCAGCAAAGATCTAGCAGACTGATTCTCGGCAGGCTGGACTGATGTATGAAGATAGGTTGAATCAGTTAGAATTTATTCACTGGAAGTGGTTTCCTCATAGAAACCTATAAAATCCTAACAGCACCAGACAGGGATAGTAGGAACTGCAGATGCTGGAGGATCTGAGATGACAAGGTGCAGAGCTGGATGAACACAGCAGGCCGAGCAGGAAAGCTGACGTTTCGGGCCTAGACCCTTTTTCAGAAATGGATTTCTGAAGAAGGGTCTAGGCCCGAAACGTCAGCCTTTCTGCTCCTATGATGCTGCTTGTCCTGCTGTGTTCATCCAGCTGTGCACCTTGTTGTCTCGGATTCTCCAGCATCTGCAGTTCCTACTATCTCTGTTTTGACCTTGATTGCTTTCTGTGGTAATTAATTCCACAGGCTCACCACTCTAGGGTGAAGAAATTTCTCCTCACCTCATCCCTAAATGGTTTACCCGGAACCTTAGACTGTGACTCCTGGTTCTAGACTCCTCTGCCATCAGAAACATCCTTCCTGCACATACCCTGTCTAGTGCTGAGAAGGGTCTAGGCCTGAAACGTCAGCCTTTCTGCTCCTATGATGCTGCTTGGCCTGCTGTGTTCATCCAGCTCTGCACCTTGTTGTTAAGGTCAAAACACTATGATTTCAAAAAGGAGTTTGATACAGCATCTGGGGCTAAAGGGATCAACATTATATGATTGCAAGGAGGAGTTGGACATAGCATTTGGGGCTAAAGGGATCAAAGGAAATGGGTAGATAGTGAGAACAGGCTATTGAATTGGATAACCAGCCATGATTGCATTGAATGGCGGAGCAGACTTGAAGGACCAAATGGCTTATGCCTGCTCCTAAAATCTATGTTTGCATGCAACAGTTCTGAGATTCTGTGAAGTGATGCAATGGCACTGTCTGTTGGTGGATGGGTTGGCGCACAGGCAGGAAAATCTGCTTCCTTTTTCTAGGCTGCTGCTAATTGGCAGATGCACAGTTGGGACGATTTCCCCAAAGCTCCGGCCTCCTCTCTTTTTCTGTTGGTTCCGTGTCATGCCAGTCTCTCCCTTCCTTGAAGCTGGTACTGTCACCACGTGGCCTCTGCCATCCTCTGTTATTGACATCGACTGGCCTTCCATCCAGTGGAGGTGCACAGGGGTCTGACATAGGTGGCAGGATCTAGTTCCACTTTCTCACTGAAATTAAAGGGAAAGTGAGGCTGAGGGTATTTTTTCTTTGTTTTTCAGAAACCATTACCTTGGCTTCAATTAAATGGTGAATCTGCTTTAATAGAGGACACAAAAAAAAACTGGTCCTTTGTACTCTTACTCTGCATTAACTGAGTTAAATGTTCCTGGTAAACATTTGTGAGCAGCCAATTAAAGAAATAGTCACTTCCTCATCTCTTTGGGTTTGAATCTTTCTCTAATTAACGGGACGGCCTGTCACACTGCATCAGAGTGTGCATATTTAAAGTTTATTGTCCCCCTGACTGAGCAAGAGGTGATAACTTGTCTGACGTCCAGTTGTGGATGATTAGATGTTCCCTCCAATTAAATATTGGGATCACTGAAAACATTATTTTTAGTCCTGGCTCCAAACTGCTGACTTTGTCCCTCTCCATGGCAACTTTATGAGGCTGAGGTGTCACATTTGATCTCCAGCATTAAGACCACCTTTTTCCATCCTAACATCACACAGCTTCGTCTCTGTTTAATCTCTTCTGCTGAAACTCTCATTTATATCTTTATTAAAAGCAATTCAGAGAAAATTCATCTTTACTCATTCCTGAGATGAAGGGTTTTTTTACGAAGAAAATTTGAACTGTTTAGGCCTATACCCACAGCAGTTTGCAAGAATCAGAGGTGATCTTATCAAAACATCTTGAAGTGTCTTTATGGGTGGACTTGTAGAGGATGTTTCATCTTGGGGCAAGTGTAGAATTAGGGGGCAAAGTTTAAGAATAAGAGGTTTTAGGACAGAGACGACAAAAAGTTTTTCCTTTCAGAGGATCGTAAATCTTTGGAAATCTCTTCCATAGGGAACAGTGTGGGGGTGGGCTTGTTTAAGACTAAGTTAGTTAAGTCTTTTGATAGACGAGAGGGTCAAACATGAGATGTAGAGCAGACAAAAGTACAGTTTACACTACAACCAGATTACCTATGATCTTACTGAATTGCAGAGTAGGCTTAAAATTAAAAAGGCTAATTTGTATGTACAAATATTCATTTTGGTGCCTTTTTTATTTACTTTTCATTTGTTATTTCTAGACTCTATTATTCCAAGGCACTCCTGGTTAGTATCCCACATTCTACTCTCTGGATCTTGATGTCATTCAAAATTCTGCTCGCCAGTGTCCCAGTTCACACCTAGAGCCAATTCACCCATGAGCACACTCCAGGTTCACTAACCTGCATTGACTCTTGGTTGAGCATGTCTTGACTGTAAAATCTTTCATCTTGTTTACAAATCCTTCCATGATCCTCCTTCCTTCATATCTCTGTGAGGTCTTCCAGAAATAAATCCTGCCAACATCTCCACCTTCCTCCGATTCTGGCCTCTTAGCATCCCAGATTTTAATCATTCCACCACTGGTGGCTGTGCCTGCAGCTGCCTGGACCCTAAGCACTGAAATTCCCTCCCTAAATCTCTCCACTTCTCTCTCTCTCTCTCTCTTTCTCTCTCTCTATCCTTTACAAAGGTTCTTAAAAATTGACTCTTCGAACAAGCTTTTGGCTGTCAGCTCTAATATCAGCTTTGTGTCACCTCAGCATGTTGTATTATATTAAAGCCATTATACAAGTATTAGCAGTTGTTCTTTAGTTAAAAGGACAGTGTCACTGACCATACAAGTTGACTTCAGTTTGGAAGGAGATAAATCAAAGGCTGAAAATAGTTTCTTCTGAATTTCTATCCTGTGATTACAGGAAATATTCATGCAAGCCCCCTACAATGAATGAATGATTTGCAGGCAGGAAGCTCAAACCAAACCTGACACCAATATCCCAATCATTTAGTTGATTTGGAGCTAGTCTTTGTCAATGGAGGACGAAAGTAGCGACTATAGTTTGGGACACCATATGCCTGCTACATTTGTCATCGTTCGTTCAGCCGATCGTCCAATCTCTGAGGCATCTGTGCAGTCATGCTTGGGAGCAGCCACATCAATGTGGGCACTGTGGGAAGAGCTTCAGTTACCCTTACCAACTGGAAATGCACCAGTGTGTGCACACTGGGAAGAGGCCATTTACCTGCACTGTGTGCAGCATGGGATTCACTCAGTCGTCCACACTTGCCCTTTCCATGCACTGACTTTGGGAAATGCTTCAAGAGCTCCCATCAGCTGATGCAGCATCAACGGCTCCGCACTGGGGAGAGGCCGTTCACCTGTCCAGAGTGTGGCAAGGGATTCAGTCAGTCTTCCAACCTGATCAAACGCCAGCATCTGCACACTGGAGAGAGGCCTTACATCTGCTCCAAGTGCGGCAAGGGATTCACTTTATCATCCACCCTGCTCGCTCACCAGCGGATCCACTCCAACGAGAGGCCCTTTCAATGCTCAGACTGTCAAAAGAGCTTCAAGAGTTTGTGGGCACTGACGCAGCACCAGCGCAGTCACAGTGGGGAAAGGCCGTGCACCTGCTTGGTATGTGAGAAGCCCTACACTCAGTCGTTCACCCTGTAATACACCAGCAGATCCATTGATAACTGCAATGCTCGGGGTAAGCTGTTTCTCACATCCAAGAGTTCCCACCTTAGGACAGGTCATTGGTGTTTGTCCTGCATTTTTTAAAATAAACCCTGTAAATGGAATCTTGATCCATATTCAACAAGACTCCGTGTCGATGTCTGTTAAAGGAAGACTTGTGTTCATGTTGCACATTTCATGACCACTCAATGTCTTAAAAAACAATTAAGTACCTCACCAGTGTAGTCACTGTTGGATGTGAGTAAAGATGCCAATTTGTTTGTGCACAGCAAAATCTCACACACCATAATACAGGACGGGTGGTGGTGTTAAAAACTAATCTTTGTAATGGTGACCAGGACAATTATCATGATTGTTGTGAAGATTCATCTGATCCAGTAATGTTCTTTCAAAAAGGAACCTGGTCTGGCCGATGTGCGACTCCAGACCCACCACAATGTAGTTTCTCACAGCTACCCTCTGAAATGGCCCAGCAAGCCATTCATTTCAAGAGCAATTAGAGATGAGCAACAAAAGATGGCCTTACCAGCAATGCCTACATCCAATTAAATAATACAGAATTGATATGAATGAGCTAAACTTTGGAATGTATGAATAAACTTATAGTAGAATACAACTGACAAGTTAAACACACGCAAATGTCGAATAAAGGAATGTAAATGGAATACAGGAGCAAATGGATATCAGGCTTCGTATACATTCTTTCGTGGATGTGGACCTCGATGACAAGGTCAGGATTTGTCATCCATCTCTCAATAATGGTTAGGTCAGTTGCCTTCTTGAACCACTGCCACAATGCTGTTAAGAAAGTCCAATCCAGTCCGGTTCCTGATCAGTGGTAACTCCAGAATGTTGATAGTGAAGGTATCAGTGATGGTAATGCCATCAAATGTCGAAGAGTGGAAGATAGATTCTCTCTTGCTGAAAGTGGTCATGGCCAGGCACTTGTGTAGCATCAATTACTTGATACTTGTCAGCCCAAGCCCAGATGTTCATGGATCTGAGTATAAGGGTGTAATGCCAAATTTTGAGGTGCAGGAACCCTTAAGAAAATATGTTGGCCACATCATTTGCAGAAGAGAGTTCCAAATCTCTGCCAACTGTATGTGTTTAGAATTGATCTCTAATTTCACTCCTGAAAGTATAGCTCAAATTTTTAGACTCTGCCTTCTAGTCCTAGACACCCTAACCAACAGAAGTAGTTTCTCTCTATCTACATCCTCTCTTGCCCCTTCGGTACAGTACAGAAGGACCTTTAATCTATTCTCACTCGTGATGCATTATCGAGGAGGATATGATAGGGCAGTGTAGAGAGATGGTTTGAAACACTATAACATAGTAGTCAGTAACGTCCAACCCAAAGCTGGGCTTCAAGCCTCACAGCCAAATACCAATAATCTATATTCACCTTGAAACTATTGCCCATTTCGATACCAGACTTGCCACACTGTTGTGCAAATCTTCACATACACTTTTGTCATCTGCACACTTAATTTTCTTCAGTTCCAGTCAACTCATCCCGAATCTAATGCTCTCCTCCAGTTGTACACTTGTCCATATTAAACTGCATCAGCCAACGTCTAGGGTCAGACCACCAGCCAAGCCTCATGGTGACCACCTACTACCATCGGCACAAGTATAGTCAAACAGGAAACGAGTGTGCGGTTGTTTTATAACAAATTTTATAACAGCAGAGGGAACCTGAGAAGGAAAAGGTGTCAGCACCCTTGCTCTGCACACACCTCTGCTCCATCTTTGTTGAACCCCATCAGTCAATAAATTGCTATAAATATATTTCACCTTACTTTCAGCATTTAACACAAACCTCTTCAAAGTTTAAATGTTTTGCAGTGTTGACACATGAATTGTTTGTGAACAACAGCTCATGTGACTATGTTCCTTGTCTCTTGAAGCAAAGTCAGCTGCGCACAATATCAATACAGTTTTTTGTGTCAGAGATATGTATGTGTCTATTTCTTGAGGCTTTTAAGTGTTGTAAAAGTGAACTTCATCTTTCAATTAGTTAATGTTTCTTTTCTGGAATATTTTGTCAAAAATGAAAGATGTCCAATCTCAATTCACAGAACTGCCTCCAATTAAATAACAGATGAATTTATAGTCAGTAAAGTTAGGATTGCTTGATTTCTTTGGGTCAAACTTCTCCTGACCAATTTAACCAAAGCCAATTCAAATAAATAGATACAATCTGTCTACAGTGCATAAAGTGAATGAGAGAGGAGGCTTGATAGGTGTAAACACTCTGCTAACATCACTCAGACAGCAATTTCTCCTGGAATTGTTTCCTCTTTGCATTAAATTCGGGCCAATGACAGAAAATGTTTTGCTCCAACAGCAGGAGTAATGGAAAAAAATGATAGGAAAACCTTTTGAGAGAAATGGAGGGTAAAAGGGGAAACACAAAGCTTTCCCTGAATGAATTAAGATGTGGTGTAGGTCCTCCTAAGTTGTCATTATTTTATGAGTAGCTCCTATGACCAAATCTAGCCCCACCCAACACCACCTCAATCTTATGTTCCTGAAACTGCAATGTACCAGGATGTATGCAGATTTACATGAACATCCCATCACAATACAGAGCCTGTGTCTGCACTCGGAAGAAAGCAGCTGCCTGTCCACATCCTCTTCAAATTCCACCACCCCTCCCCCACAATGTCTAGGCGATGCAAATGTGTCTAGCAGTCTCCAATTCCCTCTGCAGAAAAGTCTACAACCCCCCCACCCCCTCTCCCTGGTTTGTGTGATACAAGGTGATACTCTCAGAGAAACCTCCACTCAAATCCGGAGCATTCAGGTGATGGGCTAAGGCTTCGGGCTTCCACGAGGGTACTGCTGAAGTTTAATGGGTGAAATCCATGAAGTGCCAAAACACTGGGGAAGTAATAACCTCACTAACTATCGCGCTTGTTGTACCCTACCTATTTAGGCCTTTGCTGAACAAAAGACTGCCTCCCCTTTCCATGCTGGGTCTATCCAAGAGCATTTGGTACTGGAACATAAATGGAATGGGACCAGATGCAATGAAGTCTGTACTGCTTCGTATAAAACCAGATGGTGCAGGTGCTAGAGTGTGGTCCAGCAGCAAGACACCCCTGGCTACATATGGACAGGACTTCTTCAGTTGATGGAGTAATTAACATTGTGCAATCAGGGAACATCTCCACTTCTGACCTTATGATGAAGGGAATCTCATTGATGAGGCAGCCTGAAGGTGTTTGGCATGACCCTGAGGAACTCCTGCAGTGATATCCTGGGACTGAGATGACTGACCTCCAACAACAACGACCATTTCCCTTTGTGTTATTTATGACTCCAAGCAATGGAGATATTTGCCTTGAGTCCCATTAATTTCAATCTTTGATAGGCACTTCTCTATTTCTGTTAAATATAATGAGCAAGCGAATAACTAGGGAGAGAGTAATGTCCTTTAGGGACTGTAGAGGTAATCTGTGGATCTGGAAGATATGAGCACAGTTCTCAGTGAATACTTTGTATTGGTCTTCACAATGAAAAAAGGATGAGACGGGGTAGATGTTAGCGTGCAGGGCAGTAAAATATTACAAGCAATTAACAGAAAAATAGGAAGTACTAGCAGGTTTAGCAGCCTTAAAAGTGGATAAATCTGCAGGCCCAAATGAAATATATCCTAGGATGTTGAGGGAGACAAAGGAGGAAATATCAAAGTCCTTTGTATTAATATTCAAATCCTCCCTGACTACAAGTGAGGTTCCAGAGGACTGTTAATATTATCCATTAACTGAATAAAGGAAAGGAAGAAACAGACCAGGAAATTACACACCAGTCAGTCTAACCCTGATGATGAGGAAGTTATTAAAAAGTATTTTGAAGGTCAGAATGTATCTTAGACACCGATTAATCAGGGATAGTTGGTTTAGATTATTAAGGAAAGGTTGACAAATTTGATCACATTTTTTGAGGAGGTATGCAGGAATGTGGTTGATGTGGACTTTGGCAAGGCTCTTGATAAGGACCCTCATGACAGACTGGTCATGAAAGTAAGACTTCATAGGATCCAAAACAAAGTGGCACATTGGATACAAAATTGAATGAGAAACAGGAAGCAGAAGGTCATGTTAGAGGGATGTTTCTGGGATTGTCTCCAGGGGGATTCCACAGGACTCGACATTGAGTCCTGTGCTGTTTGTGGTGTACATTAATGTTTTGGACTTGTGGACAGTGTGGTCAAGAAGTTTGCAGATGACACGAAAATTGATAAGGTGGTAAATAGTGAACAGGATAGTTGTAAGCTGCGGGAGGATATCAATGAACTATTCAGCTGAGTAGAGCAGTGGCAAATTGCATTCAATCCAGAAAAGTGTCAAGTAATGCACTTGGAGAGAGCTAACAAGTCAAGGGATTACACAGTGAACATTAGGACCCTAGGTAGTACGGGAGATCAGAGGAACCTTTGGATGTATATCCACAAATCCCTGAAAATAACAGGACAGGTAGGTAAGGTATTTAAGAAATCATCTGAGATACTTGCCTTCATTAGCTGAGGCAGAGAAAGAAAGCTATGCTGGAACTGTATAAAATGCTGGTTAGGCCACAACAGGAGTACTGCATACAGTTCTGGTTATCACATCATATGAAAGATGTGATTGCACTAGAGAAGCTTCAGGGAAGGTTTACCAAGATGCTGCCTGGACTGGAGGGTCTGTGTTATGAGGAAAAATTGGAGTTGACCTTTTGCTTTCCTGGGCACAGTGAAAGTTGAAAGGGGAATTGAATAGAGGTGTATAAGATTATGAGAGGCATAAATAGGAAGACACTTTTTTCTATTATTAGAGGACTTGATAACAAGGGGACAGAGACTTAAGATGAGGTAGATAGTTAACAGGAGAATTGAAGAGAAATTATTTACACCCAGAAGGAGAAGGAAGTCTAGAACTCCCTGCCAGAAAGATTGGTTGAGTCAGAAACTCCTGTAATATTTAAACAGTATTTAGATTCACTTCCATTACCATAATCTCCAGAGCTACGAAGCAAAAACTGGAACAGGATTTGTGCAATCAGATTTTGTTCACTGGCATAGAAACGATGGACATAATGGCCTTCTATGCTGTAAATATCTAATAGTCTTTCTGCCATTGAGTTCCAGCACTTCAAGTCTGTATCCAGGTGTTTTCTAAAGTGTGGATACTAAAATTAGTCAAATACTTTGATTAGAAGAGCAGTCATTCTGCATTCTTTCGGGGCACGGTGGCTTAGTGGTGTTAGCACTGCTGCTTGACAGCACCAGAGACCCAGGTTCTATTCCAGCCACAGGTGATTGTTTGTATGGTGTTTGCACTTTCTCTATGCGTCTAAGTGGGTTTCCACTGGGTGCTCCAGTTTCCTCCCACAGTCCAAAAATGGTTAAGTAGGTTGACTATGCTAAATTGTCCGTAGTGGCCAGGATGAGAATGATAGGTAGATTAACCATGGTAAATGCGGGATTACAGGGATCGGGTGGGGATGCTGTATGCATTTCGATGGGCCGAATAGCCTCTCGTCGCATTGTAGTGATTCTATAATTCACTACAGTCTCATAGTTTACTAGACAACAAGGTGCAGGGCTGGATGAACACAGCAGGCCAAGCAGCATCATAGGAGCAGAAAGGCTGACGTTTCGGGCCTAGA